CCCACCCGGCTCCCACGCCGCCGGCTCCCAGCTCGCCCCGCCGGATTCTCCGTGGCCGTCCGACTGCCATCTGCAACTCTCGTTCGCTCGCTTGCTCTTTGTCTGTCTTGCCTGCTCCAGTGTGACCGCCGTGAGCATAAAGACTTAGCCACCTACTCAGAGCGTGTCCCCAGGTCCTAGGACAGTGTCGAACGGTGCCTGACCCGCAGGGGGACCCCGCACGTGGGTGTTTCGGGGCACGGGAGCCCCTCGCAAAACTACTTCTGTTCCAGAACCTCGGCGCATCTTCCTGTCTCTAAGCCACTGGCTCTGACCTGTTTTCCTGGAAGCCACTCGCACGAAAGAAAATGAATAAACAAACCTCTTGAGGGCCCTGCATTCCCAGGGCCCGGTATCACCAGCGCCGCCGGCCGCAGGGGTGACGGTGGCATCAGCACACGTCCATCGCTCCGCCGTCCGGTCCCCACCCCTCCGGGCAGCGGCCCCCCCTCACGGAGTTCGCCGGTCCCTTCCTAAGCCCCCTCGTTCTGCACTGCAGTGACGTGCGTGGCTGCCACCTCCCCCACGAGGCCCCGCAGGAGCACCGATTCGCTCACGGGTGCCGGCACCCTCCGCAGCACCTCCCACGAAGGCGGGCACAGCCGCCCCGCCCGCGGAAGCTGGAGCGCCCGACGCGAACCCACAGCTCACTGAGCTCGCCCGACCCCGCTGGGCCTCGGGCACGCCCGTGAGACACACGAGGACAGCCTGCCCCACGCGGCTGTTGCCCTGTTAGTCGGGGACACGAGGGGCAGACAGGCGCCCAGCCGCGGCCCGGCCCGCCCGCCCTCTGAAGCAGAACCAACCTACCCAGCATGTCAACTGCGGGCGAGAAAAGGCACGCGTGCGTTTCTGTGACGCGTGACGCGTGGGGATTGACTGCCATGCGGCATCTTCGCGGCGATGGCCGGCCGGCACGAGGAGGGCGGGCTGGCGAGCTCCGCATGACGCCATTCGAAGGCCGTGACAGGCGCGTCCTCGTGTCCCTCACGGCAGCAACACCGCGTCCACCACGCACCTCCCCCCACCCCCAGAAGTGCTGGCATCACCTCCAGGGCCGAACCGCCAGGCGGTGGCTCCTTCCTGCCCCGTCTCCTGGACCGTGAGGCGGAGCCGGCTCTGGGCGCGGCCTGCTTGAAGGTGCGCCCAGCGGAGGCCCCACAGGGTCACGTCTGCAGGGACAACCGAGTCCCCTCCGAAGCGCACGGCAAGCAGCTGCAGAGCCCTGTGTTGGCAGGGAGGACACCTACCTGCGAGCTGGGCGGGGCCACCAGGTTGACCCCCGGAGGGGCCGCCAGCGCTCCCGAGGGCGGGCCCAGGGTGGAGGTGATGACTCGGTATGGAGAGCCCAGGGCGTTGAGGGGGGTCCCCACCGTGCTCAGGGTCCGCGGGGCGCTCACCGGGGTGTCCGTGTAGCTGGAGTGCGTGTCCGCCGGCTTCCCGGAGGACAAGCCTGCCGACGGGCTCACGGACGTGGCACTGGGGTGGCTGGGGGAGCCTGTGGGGAGAAGAGCAGCGTGAGGGGCTGGGAGGACAGAGGCCCACCCCTAGCTTTGCGCCCCGTCCCCTCCCTCCCTCCCGGCCACACCTGTGCACCCGAGGAGCTCACTCCCCCCGCCCCCCCCGAGCTGGGGGGATGAAGGCGAGTGGGGGCAGGGCGGGAGGCCGCTGCAGGGGGCACATGCGCGCGGCGTTTCAGCCCCCTGCGCCCCGCCCGGAACCCGCCTTGGACTGCATCAGGTCAACAGCTTGTGGGGGGCACCGCCCACAAGCGCCCAGGCCTCTGTGGCTGTGACCTGGGCCAGCCCGACAGGAAAGACAGTCAGGACCCACCCCCAGGTGGGAGGAGGGGTGGCGAGCAGGTGCGCAGGCTCCAGTTTGCTGCCGTGACGGGGGGCTGTGCCCTGGTCATAACGGAAGCTGCTGGGCGCGGTGCCGGGTGCTGGCGGCCCCCCACACCCAAGAGAACACAGCTGTCCCCACAGCCCCGCCTCTGACAGCCGCCTCCTCTCCGTCCCTAGGAGGTCGGTGTTTGCTTCGTTTTGCTTCAGATTCACATAGATGAGTCCGACAGCATCCGCCTTCCTCCGTCCGACTGACCTCGCCGAGCACATCGTCCCCAAGGTCCAGCCCAGTCGTCGCAAATGGCAGGACTTTTCCTGACTAACACCCCTGCATGTGCTACGTGCCACATCTTCAGCCACCCGGCCACCGGCGGGCGCTTGGGCTGCTCCCTGGCGCGGCGCTCGTGAACAGTGCCACGGCGAACACGGGGCGGTGTATCTTTCCAAGCGGGCGTGTTCCCGTGCGGCCATCCCCAACACACACCCACCCGAACACCCTCGGCCGCTTCTCGTGAGCTTCCGCTCGCCGGGTCAAGGTCTGGCCATGGAGAGGACAGTCGCCGCCCGATCGTCCTACCTGGGGAGTTTCGGTCACTCGGGGAGAACCCACAAACAGGGACGTCCCGCTCGCCCTGTCCCGAGTCCCGCCGCGGGGGAGAGCCGCAGGGGAGGGGAGCCAGGGCGTCGGCGAACAGGCCAGACACGCGCTACGAGGCCTCGGCGGCTTCGGGGAACCTCCGCACGGCGATGCATGTCGGACTCTCAGCCTGCGAGGGTCAGTCAGCCTTTTGCAGGAGAGAAGACTCAAGCCGTCCCCCCCATGCTGCCCTCAGTTCCAGGGTGACGTGCTCCACCTCTGTGGTCTGGTGAGTTTTCACTCACCCTTTAAGGTCTATCTCAAGTGTCACCTCCTCCAGGAAGCTTTTCCTGATACTCCTGGTCTGGTTTGATAATTCCTGTTTTCTAAATAACAGCCAGTTTATTTCCCCGTCTCTTCCACTAAACTGGGGGGCGGGAGGGGGGACGGATGTCCATTTTTGCTTCTCCACCTAAAGCATGATACCTGGCACTGCCCGGGTCGGGAGTGGCAGAGCCCAGGGTCAAACTGCCCATCAGGAGCCCACGCTCTCTCCTGTGTGCACCGCCAAGGACAGCAGGGGTGCTCTGAGGAGCCATCACGTCACCAAGTACAAGACAAGTCCACTCTGAAGTGATCTCAGGCTGGAAAGTCACCTGAAGGAGACGGTCCAGGGCAGCGTCCAGGGACCACGCCTGGAAAACCGAAAACCCTCCAGATGGCCACCATAGAAAGAACGGTCTGGACTCTATGGAGGCCCTGAGAGGCCATGACATTTACAGAGGCCAGAGGCCAGCGTGGACCTCCAGCCCATCACGGACACAATGTGAACCTGCAGCCAAAGTCACTGAAGGCATGGTGGCACTATGGGTCAGGGACGGTCTATGATAAGGCCCGAAGCCAAAATGACCCAGGCTGGATTTCAGAATGTGACCTCTCTGAACCTGAGTTTCGTCATCCACAGATGGAGATACACATGGCCGGTGGCCCAGCGGTGGCAGCTGCGATGACTTACTATACTGCAAATGTGTGAGGGGGCCTGTGTCTGGCCTGAAGGCCACTGTCGGTCAGGTACTGAAAGGGTTGAGCCCAAGCCGGCCCCTGGGGAATGCTCCTCAGGAACCGTCACTGCCAGACCCTGGGACGCACCAGCTCGTTTACAGTGTTTAATTTTCTGAGTGGTCACGAAGCAGCCGCTGCCCCGGGCCCAGCGCGTCCCTAGCATCCCAGCCACCCCTCCTCCAGGACCTGCATCTCCCCATAACCCAGCCGGACACCCAGAGGTCCTCCATGCTGACTTCCGGCCTGAACGCCCGGTGCCCCACAGGTCATCCGTGTTTTTAATTCCATCCCCTCGCTGCCAACAGTTATCACTGCGGTGCCTCCCCTGGTCCCTGAGATGGGTGGGGTAGACGCTCAGAAATGTTGGTGGACTAACCGGTGAATGGGGTAAGTACATTACCCTACTCAGAGTCTATCGACAGAAATTCTCTGCATGAGAAATCTATGTCCCAGAGGTTTACCAAAACCTCTTAAACCTCTGAATAACAAACTGTGTGCACGTGTGTGCGCATGCATGTGTGTGCAAATGTGTGTGTGCACTGTGTGTGCGCGCGTGTGTATGTGCATGCATGTGTGTGCGTGCACATGTGTGTGTGCGTGCTGTGGGCACTTACCAGGAAAGAGCAGCCTTGGTACTTAGAGCTATGGGATTCTTACCAAGGTGAGGGGGTTGCTTAGCAACCCTGGCCTCAGCCAATGAAAGCAAAATGCCATGCATGGGCCTTTCTGACTGGCTGGCTAGGAGCAAATGGCGAGCTGTTCCCACCCCTTTGCTGTGGTGCCAGGGCAGGGACTTTGCTGTCCCATAGACCCTGGGACGCACCAGCTCGTTTACAGTGTTTAATTTTCTGAGTGGTCACGAAGCAGCCGCTGCCCCGGGCCCAGCGCGTCCCTAGCATCCCAGCCACCCCTCCTCCAGGACCTGCATCTCCCCATAACCCAGCCGGACACCCAGAGGTCCTCCATGCTGACTTCCGGCCTGAACGCCCGGTGCCCCACAGGTCGTCGCGTGTTTTTAATCCCAGCCCCTCGCTGCCAACAGTTATCCCTGCGGTGCCTCCCCCGGTCCCTGAGATGGGTGGGGTAGACGCTCAGAAACGTTGGTGGACTAACCGGTGAATGGGTAAGTACATTACCCTACTCAGAGTCCATCGACAGAAATTCTCTGCGTGAGAAATCTATGTCCCAGAGGTTTACCAAAACCTCTTAAACCTCTGAATAACAAACTGTGTGCACGTGTGTGCGCATGCATGTGTGTGCAAGTGTGTGTGTGCACTGTGTGTGCGTGCGTGTGTATGTGCATGCACGTGTGTGCGTGCACATGTGTGTGTGCGTGCTGAGGGCACTTACCAGGAAAGAGCAGCCTCGGTACTTAGAGCTATGGGATTCTTACCAAGGTGAGGGGGTTGCTTAGCAACCCTGGCCTCAGCCAATGAAAGCAAAATGCCATGCATGGGCCTTTCTGACTGGCTGGCTAGGAGCAAATGGCGAGCTGTTCCCACCCCTTTGCTGTGGTGCCAGGGCAGGGACTTTGCTGTCCCATTAGCAACCCTCCTCAGGACGAGGAGAACTTGAAGTGAATCGTTGGTAACAGTTAACACACACCCATGAGGAAGGGGAAGAGGGTACACGCTTGCTATTCCTAAGGGCCAGTCCCCTCCACTTGAAGTCTGGGAGCACGCGGGCCCTGTCCCACCGCTCACCCCCACAGAGGGCGCCATCGCACACCGAGCCCGCCACCCGTCCTCCCGTGGAGGGTGTGGGCTCCAGCAGATGGCAGACCACTCAGACACCCGCCTCTCCCTGCCCAGAGGGACCGCGCACAGCCCCGCCCTGCCTGGCTCCCCGGGCAGACAGGCTGCTCAGGGAGGCAGGCAGGGCCCTGCCACGGGAAGGCACTTTAGTGGGTGCTTTGGGACGGCAGCAACAGAAAATATTTGTCAAGTGATCGCCACGAGCCAGACATGCTTCTCACACTTGACCTATCGACACCTTTCACACCTGCAAAGGTGAGCCTGGCGCTCACTCCTATTGTGCAGACGCAAAAACCTGGAGACCAGGGGCTTAACTAACTTGCGGGGGGTGGGGAGCACAGCTAGCGGTCCAAGTGGCGTTCGAATGGGGCGGGGGGGAAGCAGCAGACGGGGATTAAATTCCATCTAATTCCAGCCCCACCGTGCGAGACGCCACCTGTGCGGCTCCTTATAGCAGTTACTCAGTTACCCGTATTTTTAAATCATAAAAGACATTTATCCTGACACTCTAAAATCTGGACAAATAATATTTAACTTTTTAGGAAAAGCCTACACAAAATGTTGTTGTTTCTTCCTGGTACATTTACAATCTAATAATAAGGAGAGCGGGAAAAACCTTAAAACAATATTGCTCCAGTTTGTCTGCAGTCGTGATTTAAAATAGCCCTGTTCGATTGAGGTCTAAACCGCAAACTTGGGTAAAGTTAGGAAAATAAACAAATCATTATAAAAAATACAAAATGAGGGGAAAGAAACCCTAAGTTGTAGCTTTCTTGATATATATACAGTAATTATAAATTTTTTTACATTTAGAAAAGTTGTTAATTAAAAATATTCCCTCTTGTAATTCTCAGTTGGCAAGTTGAAAATTCCATTTAAAGCAGCAGTCCCCAACCTTGTTGGCACCGGGGACCGGTGCTCCCGTGAGAATCTAACACCTGAGGACCTGAGGCGGAGCTGAGGCGGTGATGCTGGCGCTGGGGAGCGGCTGCAGATCCAGATGCAGCTTCTCTCCCTCGCCCGCCGCTCACCTGCTGTGCAGCCCGGTTCCTCGTGGGCCAAGGACTGGTACCGGTCCACAGCCTGGGGGTTGGGGACCCCTGATTTAAAGGATCGACGAAACTCAGGCCAACCCAACACTCACCATGTACGGGCCACAGCTTCCCCGTCAGGCGTCCCCTGGCCCAGACTCTGTCCCAGCCCCACTCCTGGCCTCTCTCAGGATTCGACCCGGCGCGCTCTAACCCGGCCCCTCGCAATT